AGTCTTGGGGCGAGTCTTGACGCAGTCTAGAGAGAGTCTTGGGTCAGCCTTGCCACCTTTGTAACGTTTTTTAATGTCTTTTCGAGATGAGAGTGTGATGCGCCTATATACGTATTGTTTGATAACTCAAGCTTTTGTTCATGATTGACAGGATTATATGTGACTTAGTAGTGTCTATCGTTTTAGCTTTTCCTCGTCTTTTTTGCCAGAGGAGTAATGTGTTTATATAGCGGCTTTATCTTTGCATTCCGTTTCCACGCCGTATGACTTTTGTTTAGATTAACGACTTGTGAGTTCAGTTGAAGTTTATAAGCGTATATGACAGGAGTTTGATTGATAGCTTGTTTATTCATTGTTTATTAGTTACCGCTTTGCAATGCTTTAACCGAGAGACGCATCCCTGGTAATCACGTGATCGTGCTGTCGACGGCCGCGATTAGCTGTTCACATGGTTCACACGCCTTAGTTTTTTTTACCTTTTGATATAGAGTTTGTAACCTTAGTAACGAGAGACAGTGCAGCGAATGGTCAGCGAACTGTTTGAGAAAAGTGAGTCGATTGGTAGCCTTTCCCTTGTTTTTGATTTATAACCGTTGATATTTGTGACCATAACCATTGTATTTAGACATTATAATCATTGTACTTAATCAGTATGTTTTACTCTTTTGATTTATTCCTTTTCTTAGTATTGTATTTAACCCTATGACGATGAGTAGAGGACGGTATCTTTGATTTATGAACGTGTTATTCCAGGAGGCATGGCTCAGTTTGAGTGAAGGGATGTGTGATGAATTTGTTTTTGCGTATCTGTTAATCAACTTAATTAGTTGATTACGAGTGAATGGCTGTGTTATGTCTGTCATCGTTTCGGCCCTTGTGAAGTTCTGGACGGAACTTGGTTCAGTGATATGGAACTAATTATGAGATAACCGTCGCTACCCGGACTACTATTTCTGACAGTTGGTATTCGCAGTTATTAATATAGTGAACGATTAATCAAAAGATATGACATGTCCAGTACTTAGTATGATTGGCTGTATGATTGAAGGTTACGCCTTAGAGTGTTAATACTGCTTTGTAATTGGTTAAGGTTTTGAAAATGAATAAAGTTGTTTTAGTTGGTCTTGGCGAGTACACCACGACAGACGCAGTCCAGTCTTAGAGAGTCTTGGGGCGAGTCTTGACGCAGTCTAGAGAGAGTCTTGGGTCAGCCTTGCCATAGTTTTGGGGACTTTTTCCCCAGGGCGCTGTGTCTTATAGAGTGCTCGACTGACCGACTAAGACGAGAGTTGAAACATATTTTGTTGTGTGCGTCTATTGTAAAGTTTAAGTGACTTTCCCGATCCCGTACCTCAAGGGGACGCGATAGAGAGACGAGACGAGATTCCCCCCTGACACGTGTGGAGAACCTCAGAGGAGAAGAATTTCCCCCTGATAGAACCAATTACGTTCACATGAAGCAGATTCTATTGCCAGAAGGGTCCCAGTGTGCGGCCACGCAGCATACACATATTCTACGTTTTGAAACTGTATGTCTTCTCATTTTAAAGTTATCCAATAAATAATTAGTTGGGAACGTAAACAGGGTATCAGAGAATACAACGGTATCTAATTGATATTCATTTGACCAGAGCATAACCCGTGGTAGGAATCACGCACAGCTCATTTTTATATATTCTCAAAGTAAGATATAACACCATCCTTGAGAGCCAGCTTTGTAACTAATACTTGTTTTTAAACACATTTGACAATGAACACTACGGACAAATAAAAAATACTCGTGATGATACATATATCCATTTTATTATCCACCCTAACACACTTTCTCATTTAACCCTCAGCCATTTGTTTACAATACCAATACCAATGCAGATATCATGAATGGTTAGACATAGTACGCTTGTTATATGCAACTACTAGTATAGTTTATGTGTAACAAATGCATACTGCTCACCCAGGCACATTTCATTACACGTTTAAATCAACGCAACTTGTTCATATGGCACGCCGTAGTTTGTAGCATTACGTGGAGTCAACTAATTGAATCATATGAGTCATGTTTCCTGGGTTATTTAAAGCCACACTAACATCGTAACTGCGCATGTGCAGAATAATGGCTCAAAAACCGAATAATGTTTACATACTAATATTGAACAGTTTTTAGAGACTTGTGCTGACAGATAGTTGCTTGGACAGATGATTGGACAGGTTGTTCTTTGTAATGTAAAGTATATTACAAAAATGTTAATAATAACAGTTTTCAATTTGTTTTTACCAACGACATGCTACTACGACAATATTTAAAATATTCATAGTCTAAGTTTAATTTGACGTTCAGCTAATCCAGTAGATTTGGTACTTTTAAATCGGTATTATTTACTCCCGGAAAGTCGTAGTAACTCCATATTGTTTTCAAAAAATGCCATCGGGTTTCTAGGCGTTAATTGTTCCGTCTCCCATCGATACTTGTCATATTTATTATTTCTGTAGTGTGTATGAGTAACAGAGCTATCTTCACAAAACGCACTTTTCGCTTTGCCTATTGTATCTATCCATGCCTCCTCGTGGGCAGCTGGTACAATCTGTGGATATGCACCAATTTTACGGAGAACTGCTGTTTTAGCCATGCAGAAAAATATAAACATTTCTCCCCACATGCACTGTGGGTAACCAGGAACTTGACGATTTTTTTGGGGGGGGGGAATGGTCTCATATTGCAATATCCTTCAGTAACATTGTATGCAATATTCCGAAGACTCCGGAGTTTTGCTTAATTATTCACCAGTCCACAATTTATATCCATGTCGATGTTCTGGTCTTCAAGCTTTTCCAACATCACTTCTAAGTTTGTTTCATTAGTAAAAAACATATCGTCATCCATAAAAAGCACATACTTTGTCCTAACCTGGCTGAGGGCGAGATTTTTTCCTGGGAAACTTCCTTTTTCTAAATGGCATGACGTAATATTTAACATGATTCTTTTTAATGGGTTTTGGAAACTCAGAGTCATCTGCAATAATTATTGTTAAATTCGGGTAAAATGTGCGAATACTGGACACAAACTTGTCGAGAGCATCGTACCTTTCGAATGTTTTGGTTATCACTGTGACTTTGTTGGTGATCGAATTCCTCTCTCCAGGGTCGTAAAGGTCTGGCAGCGATTCTCTTCGGATGTGCACATAAATGTCCACAGTGAATTCTATGAATGTAAGTTGTAATTTGTCGCGGACATCAAACTCGTAACTATCACTCGAATAAAGAATATTGTTATTTAGAATTTCCTTCAGCAATTTTATATTTTTCTTCAAATTCAATTTCAATACATATGACACCTCACCAGATACAATGAAATGTTGGGAGTCTTTTTCTATTTCATATATCTTTTTAGATAAACGTGGTTTTCCCAACCTCTTTGTAGATGCCATTTGGAGAATAATGTCTGTATTCATGTCCGGTAACAGTTGTTCTATATATGGATGAAGAGACAATCCAATTATTGGTACTAATTGATACGGCTCCACAGTGATACCGATGCCAACATAACTCAATGGTGACATGGCTTTACACATAGACAAAGGGTCTCTTAGCTTCTTCTTTTGCTCTTCCCACTTCTTTCCTTCTTCAATCCGTCTTTTGTTGACTGGTTTTAACCAGTCAGGTGGTTCGGGACAGTCACACCTTGGCCGCCCTGCTTGCATCTCATTTCGCAAAGCCTCCTCATCTTTGTACGGGAAATGTCCATCATCATGAATAATTTCGGCCATAGTCTGTGATGCAGATGCGCCATCAGTTGATTGCCGCTCACAGACTGGTTCCAACTCAGCCTCACACGGGACGTTCCCCTTCAATTGTACATAGAAGTATAGAATTAAAACTATTGGTAGTACAACCTTTAGGTTGAAGTTTGCAAATTTGTGGAGAAGTCCTCCATGTAACGTCATACTGTACATAAGTGTGTCACACAAGGAAGCGGCACTCATGAAAACTATTACTGGACATTATAGGGAGCGATCTATTATTCAAATAAGTAGAGATTAGTAATTGATATTATAATGATACATGATTATTCTACATCTGAGTTGCATCGCACCCTTCAAAACATAATTTCTTTATTATAAAATATAGATCCACATTAAAATACATTCCCTTTACAGTAGACACATACCAAGCATTTAAATAAGCTGTAGTTAAAACATGTCGATGTCTCTATAATGGCTGAAATTCATTCAAAATGGATTATACTCAGCAAGCTGTTGACAATGTAACATGTGTATATCGGATCACTGTTATTGTAATGTAGCATACAACCGACGGATATGCATATTAAACAACAATATGTACACACATGGTATCAGAATTTAATTTCAACTGTATTGACAGAATTTTAATATACGTGCAGTGCAGTACAGTGCAGTTTCAAACGTGATATAACATTGAGGCGCATCTATGTACTTGTTTATTTTGTTTGGTATAGTTTTGTGGTGTACTCGTCGATTTTTTTTACTCATTTGTTTGGGTAACCTTTGCTTAGTGTGTTTTTTCTATTGTAAACATGCGTCTAAATTAAATTGACCACCACTCTTCCATGACAGAAATCAACATAGATTTGCTGAAATGAATTTTGTATATT